GGTAGGGATTTTTTTTTTGGGGGGGGGGGCATTTTTTGACAGGGATCATGTTTCTGTCAGTTCCAGCCACCAACTGTAGCCAGCACTTTGTCAAGTCAAAAACAGTCAACAGCAATTCAGCACCCACAGCAAATAACAGTCAGCAAATATTCAATATCAACAACTGTTCTATGTGTCACCGGTCGTCAAGTCATTCTCATAGCTAGTTACTTTAGCTGTCAAAATGGGTCAATAATGTTGTTCTATGCATAGAATTCCAACGGGTCAAAAACGGTCACCTGACTGATTTTGACCCAAGTAACAGCATGGCTCAAAATGCATGTTTGCATAGGAGGGTTAAAATGAGGTAAAAATACAGCAAGCGAAGGGAGGAAACTATCTGGTGAAGGTTGAGTTAAACATCTGAATAGCCCCTGGTAAAAACGAAGATTTGAACCTGTTTGTTTTGAGACTAAATTGACGTACTTTGCCAGATCGATTACAAATAATGAAAGGGTTGAGGGGGTGACTTGTATCTGAGAGGATGCTGTTTAATTTGGTGATCAGATGATTCTTTGCTATATGTTGGATATCTTTAATGTTTGCGACAATTATCAAGCTTGCTTGTTAATACTGATACGTTGAAGTTTTTTCTGATTGTACATAGTAAGTGAGTAAAAGACCCAGTAACACTTATCGCTAAGAGAAGGGGTTTGCCCCGGTATTTTTGGCTAATGCGCCGCAGCACCTTGTAAACCCTTATAAGGTGCTACATAAAATGGGTCTCATATTTCACATTTACCTGTCTTTAAAACAAATTCATAATAATTAGCGCCTTGAGTACCTAATTGCTGGTAGAAATGTGTGGTATATAAGACTCCGGTAGTATTATTTTTATTGTGCACTGTCTTCTCATTGAAGACAAGTGTCGGCCTAGGGCCATAGTTTCAATTTTTACGCCAGAGGAGGAAAAACCGCTGTAAACCAATTTGAAAAGATTTCTGACGCATGGGTAGATTTAATAAAAATTAATTTATTTTTAACTTACAAATCTAAGTATAGTCCTACACATACAGGGTGAGTAAAAAAAAGCCGAACCCAAACCCCAACAATTATTGGCTTTTCCGCAAAGTTGCGGAAAAGCCTTTGTTTTTGTTCTCATTTTTTTTTTTTTTTTTTTTTTTTTTTTGGCTTCTTCTTTTTGTCGCCTAAATCCCATAGACTTTGTGCACGTTTTTTCTCATCGCCACTTTTGGCATTAATCTTTGTCATACATCATTCAAAGTTAGCATAAGCATAGTCCCTATAGCAAAGATGTGTCCCGAAGATTGACGTCATGGTGACGTCATCGACTAATTTATTATAGATTTTTGAATATTTAATTTTTCCCATAGACTTTGTACACAGAAATTAAAAAAAAATTGTCTATTTGCAAAGGGCATTTTTGACTCTTTGCCAGTAATTCATTTACACCAGTCTTTGTCTAAGCAAAGACCCTAATTTAAACAACATTGTGTAATGATGACGTCATGATGACGTCATCAGGTGTGTGTTTATAGGCAATTAAATTGTGACACTTTTAATATTAAAAAATGCATAAGAAATCAACCGTACGCGTCCGCAGCATTTTGTTGCCGGCAAGTGGTAGAATAGGTTGAGGTCTTTATTTCATTCAGTGTGCGTGAAATCACGTGACCCTTGCTTCCGGTCGAAAAAGGCCAAAACCGGAAGTGGCTTATTATTTAAAAATGGTAATAGATATGAACTTGCTTTTAACGGTGTTAGTCTCTTGGCCGATAGTATTCTTCAAATCATCTACCGATGACGTCATGCAATCTTCGAGCGCCCTCTAGCGACAGGTTGAAAATTAGCAAAAATGTATTTTGAATAGATGTCTGTGGCGAAGTTTGTCGGAATCGCCTAAATATTGGTGTATATGATGACCTTGACCCACTTAAGACGTGTGCGAAGTTTTAGGCGAATGACGTCATCAGACCGGAAGTTATAATAAAAAGACCCTTTTTCATTTGAAAATTCCTGAAAAATCAACCATGGCAGTTTTTATATTTGTTTTTACTTTAATTGTCGATTGAAGGGTAGGTCTAAAACATTTCAAAGTTTCGAGGCGATAAGCGAACTCGAACATACCCTGCGCACGCTTAAAACTTCACGTTGACAATACCTCTGCTTCAAAAGATGCACAGGACAGGACGTCCACAATGTACATGTACATGCATTGCACGTACGTTGTACATAGGCACATAATCGTATGTCAGTCAGCCTGCAGCGCACGTGTTGCTGAGGTCAAATCCTGTCCACATTGACCGTTTTAACTTTGACAGATTTTATGTTCATGCATGCGCATAGACAGGGACGTATTATAGCACTTTTGGCATTAATCTTTGTCAGATATCATTGAAAGTTGGCATAAGCATAGTCCCTATAGCCAAGATATGTCCCGAAGAGTGACGTCATGGTGACGTCATCAAGTGATTTATTATGGATTTATGAATAATTAATTTTTCTCATAGACTTTGTACACAGCTTTCTCCACAAGTCTTTCCCTATACAATTTATCTTACTGAGTAGTTCTGAACTTCGGCTGAGAATTACTATGAGAAGGAAAAAGAAATCGTATTTCTTTACACCTGTCATTTGATTGAAAATATTCCCAAGAGTTAGAATAGCAAGTAATATTTTATAAAAATGTTTCAGTTTAAAGGAAAATCACGCATTTGAAGGTGCAGTTTTTCTGCTGTGGGATTTTTAACCTATTGACTTTGTACACGTTTTCAAGCCACCATTTTCATAACTTGGCGATCTAAAATCGTCATCAAAGTTACAGCCGGCCAAGGACGACCCTCATACAAAAATTATGCCAAGACTATGACGTCACGATGACGTCATCACCTAATGTTTTTATTGATTTTTGAAAATTTACGTACATATTGTGAAGTCATATCTACAGAAATGTAAGTCTGATTGGGTTGAAACTTGGTATGTGGTTATACCAGGATGTGTTATAGATTAAAAATGAGGTGACGTCATGATGACGTCATCCTGAGATTTTATATGAATATTTATTTGTTTGGACCTTTTAGCCATATCTCCCGAACGCAACATGCAAAATGCAAAATTCTTTTTTGCATTTGGTCTGTTATGTAATAGCTTTTCGCACAAAACTGGAAAAATGTGTGACGTCATCATGACGTCATCAAAATGCGATTTTTCAAAACTCATATAAGGAAAGGTCCAACTGTCATGAAACTTGGTGGGTAGGTAGTTAATCATACTAGTATGCAAAGTTCGAAGTGACGTCAGGATGACGTCATCAAAAACTTTTAAAAATATTTGTGGATTTTCAAAGTGCGTTTTGGACTCTTTTGCCAGTAATTTATTTACACCACTCTTTGTCCAAGCAAAGACCTTGTACACACGCACATACATCATATTGCCGAGGTCAAATCCTGTCCACAGTGACCATTTTAGCCGATTTTCGGCTAACTTTGACAGATTTTATGTTCATGCATATTCAGGGATATTATTGATTAAAAAAATTCATAATGCGGAAAAGCCCTATGTTCTGTTGCAAACAGACATAGACCTCTAGTATTATAGTTACTTCTATGAGAATTTGAAAACGATCATATTTTAAATTTACTTTATATCATTCGATCCATGTCGTATATCTTTGTAGCCCAAGTAATGATATCCATTACAATGTTCACTTTTTGCTTCCAAATATGTGCTGTGAGTTATCAAACCGGAAGTTAGTCGTTATGAATAAATACACGTATATTTTCCATACTTTCATATGTCATTTAACTTCACAATGAACACTTATCCATTCCGAACTAAATCAGTATTCACTTCCCGTTTTTGAAAAATGACGTCATCAAGCCAGAAATAACTTGTGTACATAGAATGTTTACTGAATTTAACCACAAAATAATTGATTGTCCTGTAAAGGATTTAATTTTGTGATCCTTTGTTCTTACATAAAAAGATATTCACATATTTTGGACGAGACAGGTTTTAGGGTCATTGTGTTTAAATGGTGATATTCTTTTAACGGATTGAGCAATTTCAGTAATTTTTTTCATCTAAAAGTAGCTTATGAAATTGACTCTCCAGTCATTATTATTTTTGGTGCTACATATTTTTTTAAATATGAAATATATTTTTGGAGGTTTGGGTTCCGCTTTTTTGGACTCACCCTTTAGTGGTCTTCTTAAATAAAAATCTTCCTGCTGGTTCTCAAAATAGAGCGATGATTCAGGGAGCAAATCGTTTGGTCATTAATAAAAGGTATCTTGTGTACTGTAGGCGAAAGTTTGTGTTCTATGCATGTGCACTGAGAAATTAGTTCTGTACGCTTCTTTCAATGACCATTTCGTCAAATTGGCAATTTGGATGCGTCTTGCTTATGATGTGTTGGGTGAAATCTATCTAAGGATGCACATTAGCTCGGATTGATCTTAGAGCGGCGACTCATTTTAAGTTTTAAGATGAGAGTAAGATAAGACTTGTGAAATCGGCCCAAGGTGACTTTTGTTGCTGAATGAAAGGCGACCAAAGATAGCTTAGGCCATTTATTCAAATAAATTTAAACCACAAGGGCAACCACCTTCTGAAGTTAGAAACCCAAATCTCATTTCTAACTCAAATTATCACAATACCCCTCCAGCCTCTCGGCTGAGTGGCAAAAAAAAGAGAAGATTTTGAACCACTAAAAAAAGCCATTTTTGATGACCCCCTCCCCCCCCCCAAAAAAACATAACTAAACCCAAGCTTTCGATTCAAATTTAAACTCACAATTCCGGCATCGGGCCAAAAATAAAGAGAGTAATAAACTGTACCGCCTTGCAAAAATCAAGTGACAATTTTAGCCATTCAGCTTAAATCCTCCAAAATTCTACAAAACCCCCGATTGATTTTAAAGGATTGAGGAGGGTTAGGGTTAGCAAACTGCTTCTGTATAAGCTCAGAGCTGGGGGAAATTTTTTTAAAAAGATACTTGCCTGTCCAGAAATGGTTCACTGCACAAAAGAAAAAAGAAAAAGAAAGAAGTCCATAGAGTGAAAACAAAAAATTGTGCCTGGGCATGTTACCAAAAAAGAGGGACCTAATCTTTGGAATGTAATAACCACAAATATTTTCAAGGGTAGAAATGTAGTAGCTTCATTTAGAGAAGCACAAAGAGCAACAAATAGCAGCTACAAAAAAATGTATCCAGTTTGATTAGAAGCACAGTACAAGTACATGTATTTGGACTTGAGTGCAATGTCTCAACTTTGTTTTATTATACAATGTACTCTTCTAATATGCAGAAAAGGTGAAAGTGTACTGGTGCACGCTTGGGACTGTACAGTAGTCTATTCAGATGTATTCTCTTTTCTCATAACAGACAATTTGCACATTAATTTTGTACTGTACATGTACGGTGTATGCACTTTCATAGCACATACGTGTATGTAAATATACTGGTTATGCAGCCTTTGAAAATGCACCTTTGCATCTACATTTTCTGTTTTCAGTGATTCATTGTTGTTGCATTACATGACAGTTTAAAGTCAATGATCAAACCTTTCCAACAAATGTTTTCAATGAGCACATTTCTGGGTTCCTGATTTGAACAGAAACCCAAATTGAAGAGTGTGTTTCTAAGATGACATCACAGCAACAGGATCCTGACTTGACAGTAGTCATGGAACGTTTCCGATACTTGAAACGCTACAACGCCAGAAAGGGATGTCTCATAGTATTCCAATATTTCAGGGGAATGGAAATTTGCACAATACATGTATGTTCCAGTGTAAAATTCATGTCATGATGCCTTCAGCTTTTTTGGATGGATCACATTCAATACATCAATATTAGGATTCTGCCCTTCACCAACGTATAAAAACTGTATAATCAGTGTGTTAACTCCCAAGTGCAAGTTGGAAAAAATCACTCAGGTGGGACTCGAACTCACTACCTCCTGCTTTCTAGTGCAGACGTCTTACCACTCGACCACCGAGCTTGCGGGATCGGTTGGCTGGTTCGAATCTGATGTACATGATGCAGCGGGTACCGCAATTAAACTATTCATAAGATGAATTTGTGTTGGGGTGATGTAAATCAATATTAGGTTTTTGCTCTTCACCAACGTACACACTAAGTAAACAGTGTTTATACATTGACTTCATTTCCATCCGAGGGTAAAGGTAGTCTGAGTATCACCCATTGTCCAACGGAACCCTCTGTACGTCGGTGAAGGGCAAAAACCTAATATTGATTTACATCACGCAAATTCATCTCATGAATAACACTCAATACATGTATATGATCCAACAAATTCGTTAAAGGCATCATACATGTACGTTCAATGACCTCTTTTATGAAAGTACATTGTACATTTTTCAACTCTGACTCCAGTAAAAGTGCAAGTTTCTTCTGTTGCACCTGCCACCTTGTCAGAATTCACCTGTGCAATTTCTAGTCCAAGTCCCTAAAAAGTACTGAGTTACAGGTGTCATGTATGTACCACTTACCCAATGGTTTTATCCATTGTGCCACAGAAGGAGATTCACCATACACAGTTAAAAATGCTCTGTAAGGGAAACAAAAGGCGACACAAATTGGTATTGTTAATTATGACATTTCGATGACCAATGGCATGTGTAAGCTCAGATGGAATTTGGAGAGATTTAAAATGTAGAGTATATAGTTTTGTGCATTTTTTTCCTTCTTCGTTTGAAGCAACAAAAGTGTTCAAAATCTAGAGACGGGTGTTTAACAACTATTACCTGATGAATGTTTGGCTCAGTAAATGCTGTACATGTATATTCCAAGAAAACAATTTCTCAATTTCAATTCAAAAGTTGCAGAGTCATGTTTTGAACTAGGCTCAAACCAAAATGTATCATGACCGCACTGCCAAAAAACTCCCTGATCTAGTTGTCGGACAGTCAGTTTGCGCCAAAACTCGCGCCAAGGTAGAAGACTCCCTGTGGACAACTGGAGTGATCAAAGCCAAAGTTGCGCCACGCAGCTATATCATCGAAGTCGGTAGCAAATTATACAGACGCAATCGCATACACCTCAGAGACAGTCGGGAAAACGCGAAACCACCTACAACACCAGTCACATGTGTGAGTGCACCTCAGCTCACACCACAACCAGCTAGCACTGAGCCACCCATCTCGAGTGCCGTCAGTCCAGTCGCGAAGGCACAAGATGTGCCTTCTGCTCCCACAGACAGCACCTCTAGGACTGAACACTAACGCTACCACCACCAGATCCGGTGGCGTTTCCAGACCACCTAAGACACTCATTGAATCAGAAATCTGACTTTGGGACATGCACTGATAAATACTTACGACCATAGGCCAACTCTTAGTTTAGAAAGATCACTCTTGCAGTTTACTTGCATAAGTTGTTCTTAAGCTTCAATGGTTACTAAGCTGTGTTAAAGGTTTTAAGGCTGTTCCAAATACGTTCTGGTGTTAAAGTGTTCATGATCTTTGCTTAATTGTTTCTAAAAGTTTGGTATTAATGATCACCACTGTAACAGACCAGAACTACTCAGTCTCAAGTGACAGTTCAGCAGCAACAAAATTAGCACCGACTGCTCCTTATCTTAAGGAAGGGGGATGTTGTGGAGTGGCTTTGTGGGGCCATCGTATCCCTATTGTACGATGTGATTATGGGCTACCACTTTCAGTGCATGTTACACTTGAGTCCTGCCCGGTGCCATCTTTAAAGCAATTTCCCTTCAAAAATCCAACCGCAAGTGCCCCGTACGCAATGTCGATACCGTACGTGTGATGCCATTCATAAACGTACATATACGAACGTACAGTGGTGGTTCGTACATACTTGCATTCTTTCTCTATGCAAAGCACGTGCTCTTTTGTGCTGTGTATAGTTCAAGCACGACACGTACACGTACGTACAGGTCACACAAAGCCCTTTAGCCCCATTTGCGGTCAAGGGTGTGCTTCTTGAGAACTATTTACCAGTATTTCGACTGATTCAAAATTACAAAAAACAGTACTTTTTATGGAGTCCGAAACATTTTCTTGTTCAGAAAAGTTTCTTCATCATCACAAATTCACAATATATTTTTTTCCGTAAAGAATTTCTTCGAAAAACGATGTTAACTCCCAAAAAAGGTAGAAGCACCCCTTTACAAAATTAATGCATCCATCCATAGAATGATTGCGATCGAAAAGTTGGTGTTTTAATGTTAATTTGTTGTTGCTGAAATATGATATCATAAGTACGGTACAGTAAAAAGGACCTGTTTGTTCTAATCAGCAATTATTATATACGGAGACCTGTAGTCCAGTATTTCAGCCACATTTATAGTACTACTTACTACCAAAGTACCATGTTGTCTGGTTTCAGGTCAACTCAGTCCGTGACAAATATCAGACAGCAGCAAAAAGTGGCGCTCTGTATGTACAGGTCTGTGGGCGCCACGCAAGAAATCATGGGCACTGCGTATATCAGACAGCAGCAAAAAGTGGCGCTCCGTATGTACAGGTCTGTGGGCGCCACGCAAGAAATCATGGGCACTGCGTATATCACACAGCAGCAAAAAGTGGCGCTCCGTATGTACAGGTCTGTGGGCGCCACGCAAGAAATCATGGGCACTGCGTATATCAGACAGCAGCAAAAAGTGGCGCTCTGTATGTACAGGTCTGTGGGCGCCACGCAAGAAATCATGGGCACTGCGTATATCAGACAGCAGCAAAAAGTGGCGCTCCGTATGTACAGGTCTGTGGGCGCCACGCAAGAAATCATGGGCACTGCGTATATCAGACAGCAGCAAAAAGTGGCAACATTCTCAATCTCTTTTTTTATTTAAAGGAAGGAACCGGTGGAATGCAGCCACCCTGTTAGTCCAGCCCCTGTTCAACCTGATTTGGGACAGATTTTACAGAAATTGAAGTCCGTCCGCAAGGCTGAAACCCAGGATCTTTGTGAGTCTCTCTTGCAGGCTATGACTGTGATAACCAAATCAGCCATTTCCAAATCAGCCATCCGAGTTGGACCGGAACTCCTGGACTTTCATAAACTCTCTGCCGACGACGACATCACATCTCTCCACTTTCGAACGCATGGCTGCTGCAGAAAAGAAATCGAAAGACCAGTGGCCCCGCCTCCTTGAGCCCTATTTGACAAGGAAGGCTCAGAAGGCATTCCATGCTCACCAAAGCGGACAAAAAGCAGTACGACAAGATTGTCAAGATAATTTTGCAGCATAATCAACTCACCCCAGAGGCGTATCGCTTGAAATTTCGAACTGCATCCAAAACGGCGGATGAAAGCTTTGAAGAGTTCTCAACCCGACTTGAACTCTATCTTCGCCGCTGGTTAGTACCAAAAGAAGAGACTACAGCGTCACCTGGTTTAAAGAGGATGACGCATCTCGTCCTGATCGACCAGCTTTTGACATCGATCAGTAGTAACTTTCTTCGCACCAAGCTGCGGGAGAAGAAGGTCGAAACAGTACAAGCCCTTGTAAGGTTGGCAGATGAACACACTCTTCATAGCAAAACTGACGTATCCATCAAGTTCCAGGAAAGACCACAACCGTCTTCTTCGTCTCATCCATCCTGAACATTGCCTTACTGTGTGATAAGTATTCACATATCAAGCTTTCTTGAACATGTTGAAATCTGCTTTTGCGCCAAATCTGGCATTTAAACGAAATTCGAGGTAAAATCTGGCAAGATCTCGATGTCCTGCAACCTCCTCCTGATGCATGTGATTTACCACGTGATAAATGCTGCAGATAATTTGGTATCGCACTGACGCTCCGGGCACTCCAGATGTCCGGATCATAAGTGCGATTCCAAATTATTAGCTGCATTTATCACGTGGTCTCGTTATTGGCCAATCAGACGCCGCCTATCATATGTGCCACATGAAGCAGACGGGTAGCTCGGAGGGCTCCGATAATTTTGCACGCAAATGACCCTGGGTAGGCCCTACTCGTCCAGGGTCATTTGTCAGGGTCACTTGTCAGGTTAAAATCTAATTTCTACACGTTCGTATGGGTCTTCATTGATGGCAAATTTCGTCGAAATGACACATCCTGAACACGCGGAAAGGCAAATTTAGATTTCTTGGTGAGTACTCAACATCAATACGAAATTATGTATGGCGGATCGATTTCGCTAGGTTCAAAAATACACAACAGTGTCAGTGTGGCATTGTATACAACGCCACGTTCACCACGGGTCTACTCTAGGTAAGTACATGATCATGTCATGAGTAATTATGGATAAGATCCCACATTCTCATTTACACAAAGCAATGCCAGTTTTCCTAAAGTGGTCGAATATTCCCCCTTAGTTACATGAATAACATGAATAATGAGGGTGAGTAGGCCCTAATCATGGTAGGCCTTAGCTCTACTGAGTGGAGCGTTGGAGGGGTACCCGTAATTCAACGCTCCACTCAGTAGAGCTAGGTAGGCCTTAGCCCAGGTTGGACGAAGTCTTCATTGCATTACGACTGACGTCCAGGATGAGAATTCTCTACATAGGACCACCCAAAATTTGGACCAGATATTTGTTACGTTTTACCTCGTTACAGAAGCTTATTTCACGCCTACATTTTCTATGTGTCCTTCTCTATTGAATTCCATTCTCAGGAATTCCATATGTGATGCTGACAGACATTAATCAGGAAAATAAACTCTAAAGCAACGTTAAACTTGTACGTGTTTGTAGTCTCTTTTCATCAGTTTTATTCCCGAGTCGTACGTCATGTACGTGCGCACGAAAGCGCACACGCACGCTAGCGCCCTCATTTGTTTAGTTATGGTTGGAACAGTGACGTCACTCCAGCCAACCGACGTCACGAAAATGCTCAACCAATGACCAAAGCCGAAACATGTTTCTGGTAACTGGCGCGAAAACACGCTCGGTCATTGGATTAGCGACCGCGCCTTCAAGTAAGTGCTGTGCGTATGAGGGTGGTTACTAAGCAAATCGCGCGTGCGCACTGCATATTCACGCTGCATAGTCTGGCTCCCAGACCAGACGTGATATGAGCGCCGAGAATAATTGTCAATAATTGTCAGACTACTTGCTGCACGGACGTAGGTCATGTATGACTAGAATAGACTCGGCGGTGAGAAACTGATGAAAAGAGTCTACAAACACGTACAAGTTTAACGCTGCTTTAGAGTTTATTTTCCTGATTAAGGTCGGTCAGCATCGCATATGGAATTCCTGAACCCAGCGGCCCATAGATAAGGACACATAGAATACTACGACGCAAAAATTGGCTTCTCCATCAAGGTAAAAATATTGAAAATATTGGTCATAAATTTTTTCGTCCGGTTTTGAGCACTTCATACTCTGGACTCCCTCCGTTACGTAGGGAGGAAAGGGAGTCCACCTGGGCTAGGTAGGCCTATGCTTCTAACACTCAGTAACAATCATGTCTATAGCAAAAATAAACTACTACAAAGTACAAACTAAGCCTAAATGTAAAAATCTAAACTTGACAAAGTTTGACATGTTTTTGTACATGGTGGAAGTGTGGTCTTTATTTACGGAGGTAGTCCAGTAATTTGGCCACATTTATTGGGCTAGTACATGTAGTAACGTAGCCCCACTAGTGTGGCCGCGGTATGCTGCGCTGAACCTCTGGCCACACACCGTGGTACCGAGCACTACTGAGGGCGTTTTCATAAATTTACAGGCAGTTTCTTACACATGGTTGTATTCTATGATGTCCCCTCTATCACTTCTGGGATGCTTAGGTGTAATGTTCAATTTTCCGAGATATTCTTGAATCTTTCTGGAGCCCATATGCACTCGTGAAACGTCTGGTAATGGCAGCCATTTTGAATGTGACAAGAGATGACCTCAAGCTGTGACGTCGCATTTATGCAAATGTGCCGTGGATCCTGAATAGAGATCAGTGCACGTGGCCCCCAGACGATAAATGCGTGGTACAGGAAACAGCCGTCGCATTTGCAACTCGCGCCCTCGCTCGACAAGCAATTTGCATAAACGCGACGTCACAGCTTGAGGTCATCTCTTGTCACATTCAAAATGGCTGCCATCACCAGACGTTTCACGAGTGCATATGGGCTCCAGAAAGATTCAAGAATATCTCGGAAAATTGAACATCATTTATTACAAGAAACATCCCAGAAGTGATAGATGGGACATCATAGAATACAACCATATGTAATAAGAAACTGCCTGTAATTTTTAGATAGTGGATATTTTGCCGGAGGTAATGACGGCAAACTAACGATTACTAAAGGTTTGCCGGCGGCAATCCATATCAACAGAGGGCGCTGTACTCTTTAAAATAGGGCTGAATTATAAGATGCATTAAATTCCCACCAAAAGTTGTGTAGCACGTTTGGTGTAATGGTTAAGCAAAGGCTCTAGTAAGCGGGATGACTCGCGTTCGATTCCGGCCGTACCACATTTTTAAGTTTTTTTTCTCATCCCCAAATAAATAAGGCGAAGTAAAAAAAAAACATGTTTAGCGTCCCCGCCCGCTTCCTTTTTAGAGGCCGCCTCCTTTTTTTTTTTTTTTTTTTTTTTTTTTTAAAGACAAAAATTGATAAATTTTAACGATCTCTGACGAAAGAAATCGTATTTTTAGACTTTTATACCGTGTATAAAGCTGTGGAAATAGTCAATTAGCACGTGCGTCTGCACGAGAGTCTATCATACCATACATTCACCCCGTGTGAAATATTAACTGGTTCTCTACGTCTCAGAACTCAGGACTAGCAAATAGAAAAGTGTTGAAAGACAAGGAGAACACGGAAACCAGCGTAAAATGCGACATCACAAGAGGCTAAAGTGACGTCATATGGTGCAATTGCGCAGAAGAGATGTTCGGTTCTGCATAGTTACATCATTGTGGTCTCATTTTCTGTTGCATCTTGCCCATAAGAAGCCAATATGTCATTTCCTGACTCCAAGTGGCGGCCATTTTGAAAAAAGCTGGTAACCATCTTGAAAAATAGCCCGGCCGCGTTGTCTTGAGAAATGTGTCGGGCGGCCATTTTGAAAAAAAAAAAAAAAAAAAGGGCCTCCTCCTTCCTTTTTGTCAAAGAGGCAGGACGCTAAACATGTTTTTTTTTTATTTTGCCTAAGAATATTCTTCTTTTATTATTTTAACATGTCTCAAACATTTTTTGCAGAGTATTACATTTTCTTTTTCAGATTTGTGGCTCTGGAGGATTTTTTAAAAAGGGAAATAGGGCCTAAAGTACGAAATTATAAATTGGTCGGAATCCCATCTTGTGAATACGAGGTAACAACGATAATTTTGGCATGGAGCCAGACTAAAACTTGTCACCGGAAAATGTTTAAGTACAAAAAAACAGTAACTGCGCATGTTCAGTGCATATCCGGCAAACTAACGTTTACTAAAGGTTTGCCGTCTCCGGCAAAATATACACTGCCTAATTTTTATGGAAACGCCCTCAGTAGTGCGCGGTACCACGGTGTGTGGCCAGAGGTTCAGCGCAGCATACCGCGGCCACACTAGTGGGGCTAGTAGTAATCCTTTTTATAGCTCCATGGTAGTAACGATACTCAAAAATTACCTTCACCTTGTCATGCTTGTGTTGTCGGTTGTGATTGGAATAAATTGATTGAATTTCAATGTGGTTTTCCCTAGTTTTATTTTTATTTAATCGCATGTAACATGACCTTATCACATGAATTCGTTATAGTGAGTGCAAAATACTTATTGATGAAAGCCTCCAAACTTTTGGATTGAAATAAATCGTTAAAATCTGGCAAGATATATACAGTATTCTTCTTACCAACAAATTTTCAGAGATATCCAGCCGCCATTATTGTTCTACGTACGTTTTTTCACGGCCTGGAACGTTTTATTATAGAACTTGGGGGTGGTCAGAAAATTATCGGAACATTTAGATAATGTAGTACAGTAGTACTAGTAAAAAGACAAACATTACAATAATCTCTTTTCAAGTGTACCCATGCTAAATTTATTTTTCTCTCTTTCAAATTTGAAAACTATTGCTTTCTTGTTTTCTTTCCATTCATAAATAGTTTTGTCAAAACATGTTACCACCCGCTGATAGTAAATAGACTATCTTTCATATGACCCGGCCTAGCGGCGATAGTCAAGATCAAGAGAGGGCGCTGGCGGGTCGACCAGCTGCTGCGCGCATACAGACACTAGGCCTACACATGTACATGTACATACATGTACATGTACATGTACGTCGTCGACTAGACTCGCTACATACCATCAGCTTACACTGGCTGCCTTAGCTAGGACCGGTCCTAATGCAAAAACGGTGCTTGGAGTTACAACGTAGCGGGTAAAGTACAGAGTTGGTGACATTAAACTGAGCTGATGGCCTAGTAAGTAGGCCCTATAGTAGTAGTCCGAGTAACTTGGACCCAACTTATCGCCTTTTTTAACATTTGGACATGGTCTGGCGATAAGGTCCAAGTGTGAGCTGGACAACACAATCCTGTCACTGTCAGACTGTCCCAAAAACCAACATTTTCAAACAAAAAACATCAGATTTCACCCTCAAAACGGCCTCCAAATTACTAAATATGCCACCTGAGGTACAAGTAGACATCGATAATTAAGATAGTTGTATTGAAGTTTACTTACGATCCGGATGAAAAGTGAAATTTCCCGTTCAATTCCGAGAGCTCCCCTCGCGATCTTGAACACGTTAAATTTCCGACTCGTCTTAATGTTTGAACGACGCGATTTGTTCCTCATGCCCAGCGTACATTCGATGGTCCCCGTATCCCGAGTGCGATTCCGTTACCGAGCGCGCGCGATGCACGATTATGATAATGATCACGTTTTTAAACACAACTGCATTTCTAACGGTAAAAGGGAATCGGGAACCAGCTTGAACTGGTATCCGCCATAAAAGCTGCGCTGGTTCCCGACTCCCTATTATCGTTCGAAATGCACGTGTGTTTACCAACGTGATCCAGTCTACTCATTATCATAGATCGATGAATCGCGCGCGCTCGGTAACCGAATCGCACTCGGGATACGGGGACCATCGAATGTACGCTGGGCATGAGGAACAAATCGCGTCGTTCAAACATTAACATGAGTCGGGAAATTTAACGGGAACGTGTTCAAGATCGCGAGGGGAGCTCTCGGAATTGAACGGGAAATTTCACTTTTCATCCGGATCGTAAGTAAACTTCAGTACAACTATCTTAATTATCGATGTCTACTTGTACCTCAGGTGGCGTATTTAGTAATTTGGAGGCCGTTTTGAGGGTGAAATCTGATGTTTTTTGTTTGAAAATGTTGGTTTTTGGGACAGTGACAGGATTGTGTTGTCCAGCTCGCACTATTACTTAGACTTGGACCTTACTATCGCCAGACCATGTCCAAATGTTAAAAAAGGCGATAGGTTGGGTCCAAGTTACCCTATAGTACTAGTCTGTAGTTCAAATAATGGAAAAAATGTTGCAACCTGACTATGTTGTGCGCTTTCTTGAAAATCACGTAATTATTATTATTATTATTATTATTTATTCGGCCAACAAATGAACAACAGTACAATGACAAAGCAAATATAAATCAGATTGTCTTATCATTTGTCGGATTCTTTCATCATATCGAGTGATTTAACACCTCTGGAACTTGTGTCCACCTGGATTTTCCCTCCAAATCTCCTCCTTATGTGATTATTCGTCATCACCAAATTTATTCTCATCGTCTCGTTCGTCATCGAGTCAAAATGGCGCCCATGTGAAGAAGCGATATGTACGTTACAACGTGTACACAACGTCACAAGACAAGCGGAAGAGAGCGATCGACGTGTCTACTCGGCCGCTTTTTTCTGGTATTGCCTCTTCATATGTTGATTTTCTGACATCCTTCGAGTGATTGGTAACCTCCTTGTGTGTTTCTTCACAATCTCTTGATTGTCATCGAGTCAAACTCAGTAGCCAGCTATATCTACATCCTGCCGACTAACTGTATGTATACCTACCTGTATACCTTGTTTATTCTCATCGTGCATCATTGTTTGCCTGCATACTCCCTTTGAATAACTGCTCCTCATGCATGCTGGCTGTCAACAACCCTCCTGCATGTCTGCTTCATAATACAATGATATACCATTGCTGTTGTGTTTCCGTTTTTCTTTGTCAATGTCATTCATCATTGTCATGATCATCGACCATGTCGACATTGATTTGACCTGATTGACCTCACATTGCTGTGTACATGTACAGATCATGTTCAGTCATGATTTATATTGTTATTTTTGTGAACTTAGCATTTTGATTTAGGTAGCCTACCTAAATCAACAACTTCTGCTTGCTGGTGATATTGAACGCAACCCTGGCCCCCGCACACCTAAGTATCCCTGCGGAGAGTGTACCAGGGCCTACACCAGCTATAAAGGTGCTTTAGCCAGCATCCTGTGCGAATCATGTGACGTGTGGTTTCATTCAGACTGCGTGGGCCTAACAGACTCTGCCCTCCATAACCTTGGCCGCAGTGATCTCCCATGGGAGTGTTATCGTTGTGGTTTACCCAACTTTTCATCTGGGCTTTTTGACTCAACAATATTAGATGAGTCCAATTACACCGCTTCAAATTCTGAGACCCACTCTTCAACGAGTTTCACCAGTTCTCACCACCCAGGTTCCCCTCTCGCCAAATCATCACCCAACAAAAGAAATAGCAACCAAACTCTCAAGAATCTCCGCCTACTTGAAGTGAACTTCCAGAGCATTTTTTCAAAGCGTGCAGAATTCTGGAGTGTTCTTGACGCTACCAAGCCAGATGTTGTTTTTGGGTGCGAAACATGGCTGAAACCAAACATCGCCAATGGAGAAGTTTTCCCACCTGGATATGACATTTATCGTTGTGATCGCAGGGACGGTTACGGAGGTGTAGGCCTACTTCTTGGCGTCCACAACAGCCTTAATAGCCACCTGATTACCATCAAGTCAGATGCAGAGATTGTCGCTGCGAAGATCATCAACGATAACCAAACCATTGTACTAGCATCTGTGTACAGACCTCCCAAAAATGACCTCAAGTATATGGAGGATCTCAATAGCGCCATCAGTCATCTGTGTCAAAGTAACCCAGGTGCAGCAGTTTGGATTGCTGGTGATATAAACCTACCAGATATCACCTGGGAAACCTACAGTGTCACTTCCCATCAATACACATTGGCTATAAATGATTCCTTCTTGAACCTACTTGATACAGCTGGCCTTGAGCAAATGGTCAATTTTCCTACCAGAGGGGACAACACTCTGGACATCATCTTGACCAACAGACCCTCCCTCACTAACAGATGCTCGGGTCTCCCAGCCTTAAGCGACCATGACATGGTATTCATGGACGCGAACGCCCATGCCTATAGGAGGAAACCAGTTCGGCGCAAGATTCTGCTCTGGAAAAGGGCCGACCTTGTCACCATCCGCTCGAGAGTCCATCAGATGTCAGATGATTTCACTTCAAAATTCACTACTTCAACGCCAGTTGAAGACCTTGCTACTGCAATGCAACTGGAGCTTGAAGAGATCATCAACGACTGTGTTGATGTCAAGAAGGCTCGTCGCACAAACAAAGCCAGAGACTGGATTCGCTTCAAGCGTTTAAAGAAGGAGGCTCGTAACATCTGCCGAAATTCCTACAACACGTATGTCCATGACATCATCCACAGCGTACCAGCAGGTTGTAGGAACAAGAAGTTGGGTGCTCTTGTGAAAGCCAAGCGATGTGATCTTATGGGTGTTGCACCTCTGAAAGAAGGAGGCTTTCTACACACGGATCCCAAGGCCAAAGCCAACATTCTGAACCGGCAATTCACATCGGTTTTCTCAACTGACAACGGAGCTCCACTACCAGACCTAGGCACCAGCAACCATCCTGAAATGGAATGCACTTTAATGCTACAAAGTGCCAGGTTGTCCAAGTCACCCACAAGCGGAAGCCCTTCCCTGCCTCATACACCATCCATGGTCATGTCTTGGGGGTCTCCACCTCTGCCAGATACCTGGGAGTCCACATAGATTCCAGGCTGAGCTTCAATACTCATACCGACAACATCACCAGGAAAGCGACCGGCACCAAGGCCGCCTTCTCCCGTAATCTGAGCCACAGCAGCCAGAAAGTCAAAGAAGCTGTCTACACCACCTTCATTCATCCATCTGTCGAATTTGCAGCAGCTTCATGGGATCCACATACCCAACAGAATACCAAGAAGCTTGAGCAAGTCCAACGAAGTTCGGCTCGTTTCGTCATGGGCGATTATAGAAGAACCAGCAGTGTTACATCCATGTTAGAACATCTTGACTGGCCCTCACTACAGGAACGTCGTCACCAAAATCGCCTGCAGATGATGTACAAGATCAGATACAACTTGGTCGACATCCGTTGGAACAACTACATGTACCTTACTCAATTATCGACATCTACCAGAGGACACAGTTCCAGATTCACTATCCCACACACCAGATCTTCAGTGTATGCTAGCTCGTACTTCCCACGTACCATCCGAGACTGGAACAACCTCCCAGTTGATCCTGCTGCATACCCCTCCCTCAACGCCTTCAAGTCTGCGCTGAGGGACATCCGCTCGGATTAATCGCACCACCAGATTTTTTTTTACTTGCACCTGTACATATAGCACTGTACCTGAGTACAAATTCCTGTTGTCTTTAGACAATGCATGCGCCCAACGCAGTGCGTTTATCTTCAACATATGAAGGCAGCACTAAGAAGGAAGAAGAAGAAGAAGAAAGTAAACAAAAAATAGAAATTGAAAAGTATGACCAGACAAGACTAAAGACTGATGCGAGTAGGAATGGGTTGGAAGGGGGGGGGGGGGAGAGGGAGGGAAGGGAGGGTGGACAGTTTGACAGGGGAGAGGA